GTGTGTTCGTCGGGAGAGTTAATTTTTTTTTTAACATCAAACCAAACTGTCAATTATCTGTAAGCCCACATGGTATGACAACTATGGCAATGAATCAGTTGAAAACTAGGCTTTCTATTGGTTATAAAGTTTATGTTATAAAGTTATTTGATTTATTATTTATGGTTTGATGCCAAGTTTGTTTGTATACCATGATAATTAGATAGTTTAATTAAATTTTTAATGTAACTCGCTAAAATGTCATGACATGCTCAGTTTGACCTGCCCGCATGCTAAGGGTTAATCATGCACGTACCTACCTAATGTGCAATCAGCTATGTAGGCACATGCACATTCTCTTCCAGTGTGTGGAGTCACCAATTTTCCGTATTTCATGCTATTGTCGATTTCCACAGTCAGATTCTCTTATCAACTAAAGTATGAACTCAAAACTACCACATCAAACTATTATAACTCTGTGAAAAGTGAAGCTGAAATACTAGAGGAGGCATTCAGTCAAAACTTATTCTCAACATATGATATACTATAAACCAGTACTGATACTGACGGCCTGGTATCAATACTGGATGCCAAGTTCCATCGATACTGACTGCAAACCCTGACTATAAGAGTGATGGCCAAAACTCACTCTTCAGTTATACAAGAGGAACACAAGAGTTAGTGATGGTCCAGTTGACTAGCTGTCTTCCTTCTAGTCTGTCAGTTAAAAATTTGAAATAGTTGTTTGTAACTTTGCTCAAAAACCTAAAATAAACAATTTTTCTAGTAATAGCCAGTTGTCATCAGAGTATAAACAGAATTATCTGTAATAAGGCACTGACAAACCTTTCATGTTTCTCTACAGATATTCATCAAAGCTTATACTGATGATGATTGTGCCAAAAGCTTATTGGTCGATGAAAGAATGACTGTGGCACACGTGTGTCGGCTTCTTTCTGAAAAAATCCATACAAAGATGGATCCTCAATGGGCAGTTGTAGAAAGAAATTTTGATTTACAGTTAGGTAAGTATTTTTTGTTTTTTTCCTATGTCAATGTTCTAGTAATTATTTTTTCAATAAAATAAAGGTAAGAAATATTTGTGTTTTGTTAAACAAACCATATCCTTACAACCACATTAATCCTCACTCTAATACAAATATTAAATTTCTGAGAAGACACCTCATCTCCACGCACAGAATTCTATTTCTGTTGTGCATCTACCTATGAGACCTGCATGCCACTAGCCTTCAGCTAACTTCCATCTAATATTCACCCAGTGTTGTTTTTCTTCACACATGGGATTTGTCCAGTCCATCACCCATAAGGTTGGGCACTCCAATTGTGTAACTTTTTTATCCCATTCTTGTCAACTGTCAACTTTTTCTATTGAGAGTGGCAGCTGCTTTTTTTGTCATTGGGTTCATTCAAAACTCCCTTCTTCTGGGTTGTCCTTCTATTGCCCCCTTTCAGCATTTTTAATTTGGCTATTCAACCATGGATTGTCTGTTTCCACCTTTGCTGGTTCTTGAGAAGCTTTGTTGACCACATTGTGCCTTTGCCATTACCACCACATGTTTCTTTCCCTTTCCTCTCTACATTGTTTCAGTCCTTCCCTCTTCCCTGACCCTCTCGTCCGATTCCCAAACATTACTGGGATCTTGATGTGGTTTTCATCTCTTACATGTCATTTGTTTCTTGTTCTTTATACCATCTATGTCTCAAGGTGTATTTCCTTTTCACTTGTGATCGCCGTTGTTCCATATGTCCATGTCATCACTACTTCTTGTACTATCTTTCACAATCCTTACTTACTCATCTACCATGACTGGTTAATGACTGACTTTGCCATTCCCTTTGCACCCTTCCCATTACCACCTCATGTTTTCTTCCCTTTTCCTCTCCACGTTGTTCCTGTCATCTATTTTTCATCAAACTCTTCACACTACACACATTGGCTTGCTGACCACTTGTGTAGGTGCTCAGTTGCTTATGGTCACATTCTGCCATCCTTGTGACACTTCAGTCTCCTTCGTTTGTCTTTCCTTTTCATACTAGGCAAAGAGTATTCACTAGTCAAGACAAATTGCAGTCTCCCATGGTGCTCCTGCCACCAGGTGTCACATTCCATGGGCTTTCCCTTTGGGCACTTTCTGAAAGAAGCTCATATAGGTTTAAATTTTGCACCAGCCCCTCCATCAATTCAATGTGGGAATTAGCATTTTGTTTGAGGAGGTGAGGTATTGTCTTGGGAGTTAACATTTTCCTAATCTTGCCTCCACACACATTCCCACCTCTCCACCTTTGGTGGACCTTTTATATTTTTGTCTCTTCTAAGAATGAAGTTATCTCGAGTGCAAGGACATAGGGGCAGTTACTGTGCATGGAGGTTATGTTGCCCCCCTATTAGCGGAGGGCTGTTGTCCACCTGATGATGTCACCATACACAAGCACAGTTTATGTTAAACACATGAATTAATGAGTATCTTAGTGTTCCATATGCATGTGAGTTTAATACTTTGACTGCTTTAAATGTACGCTTAATTTTTGCGAGCCATACACTGTATACAGCACACTCGCATCGAACTGCCAGAAGCAGACTGTGCCCTATAAGATGAATCAGCAGTTAGTGGGTTAAAGGTCTTTCTTTAAAAGGAGTTAATTTTCCACCAGTGGTTTTCTTCACTGTTTTAGATATGTAAATAGATAAGTTAGAACACTTACTGTAAACACACATTTTTATTCTTTCTCTTCTTGAAGTACAGGTTTGTGCCATTTTATGTTTTATAGAGATAAACAGAAATGCTACATAATTCTTGTGTATTTGTGCTGAGTATTTGTGCATGACAATGATTATGGTGATTCTTTCACGTGATAAAATATACATACACGGTTCCGTATTTGAACAGTAAAATTACTACAATTTGAAATTTCTTTGTTATACTCTTCTGACATTACGAAATTAGCCTAGAATTATTTATGTACTTTTATGACACTGTTTATTCAAAATTAGATTATCCCTAACTCATTACAAAAGAAAAACTGTCCCCTAAAGAAATTGTTTCTGACTTTAGCTGTATATTTTGTATCAACTAATTTCTTATAGTTAGAAAGAAAAATTGTTTAGTTATAAAATATTTCACAGTTGAGTGAAAATGGATTGATAGGTTCTCTTCCAACTTAAGTTTTTATTTTGAATGTGAAAATTTCATTTCCTATTGGGGAGAGGTTTCCTCGATATGCTACTGTGCATGTTTTTGTTAACTTCTGTGGGGAACATTTAATTCTTTAGATCTACATAATTTAACAATCTTGCTATATGAATATTCTTCCTTAAAAATGGCTGTGGCATGTATGTGTGTATTCAACCATAAGCTTATTCATGATGGCAGTGCATTTTGAATGGCTGGCTGTATGCTGTGAATCGATTATTGTTTGAGTCATTATTTATATAATACCTAACCAAAGTCTGCACGTGTTTTGATATACATTCCTTAGCTTGCAGACAAAGTAGTTATAACATTTAAGGACAATGAGAATCTTGTTGGTTCATCTAGGTTGTCCCATTCAATAAGCTAAACTCATCCCTCGATGTTTTTCAAGCCATTCCTTAAAATCCATTAAATGCACTACTTCCACCACATACAAAGGCAACCACCCTGATAGAACATTAAAACTATCTTAGCTGAAAATTATTTCTACACTGCCAAGATTTATATTTGGCCCCTCTAGTCCTACTGCTCTCACCAAAAAAGATGATGCATCGACACTTTTAATTCCCTTAACAGTCTTGAACACTTCAATCATATCCTTCTATTTCATCTTTTTTTTTTTTCTAGCAAAAACAATTTTAGAGATCTTAACCTATCCACATATGACCTTTTCATTCCAGGTATCATCCTAGTAGCCCTTATCTGAACCCTGGCCAAGAGTTCAATATTCTTCCTACGGTGAAGAGCTAAAGGCAGAACACAATACTACAAATGTGGCTTAAGCAGTGACCTCTACAATGAAATATAACCCCTTTAGATTTCTATTCAAAATTTCTGTAGATGCAACCTAAAATCCTATTTGCTGTACCACTAACAACAGCATATTGGATGAATGACTTAAGAGATCAACCAGAACACCAAAATCTTTTCCCTTCGTAACACTGTTTGGGTTATTCCCATCAAAATTATACTTATAATTCAAATTATGATAACCCACATACATTATATTGCATTTGTTATAATTAAAAGCCACTTTTTTGCTCAATTCACCAAATAATCCGACCTTTTGTAAAGCAGCAGCATTCTTCTTGTGGTCAGCAACACCCAAGACGTTAATATAATCAGCAAATTTAGGTAATTCCTTCATCTGTTCACTCGATGTAAATGAAAAAGTGCAAAGGTCCTAACACTGAGCTACGAATAACCCAACTCTAACATCAATCCAGTTTGACTGAACCACTTTGAGACAACTTATCCTTCACACCTATAAGCTATTCAGTAAAGAAATAGTTAATTAGAACTGCACAAAATTTTAGTGTTATTATTACTTCAATAGATATCAAGCATTTGATATTCCATAGTGAAAATTCTTCATGGCATGGTTAGGGCCAAGTACAAAGCTTATTTTATTCAAGAACTAATGTTTGAAGTTAAGAATATTTGATAGTATGTTTCATATTTTATGAATTTTTGTAGATCGAATCTATGAAGATCATGAAAACTTGGTGAAGAACATATTAATGTGGACTCAAGATGCAACGCATAAACTGCTGTTTCTCAAGAAAGAGGAAAAATATGAAGTTTTTTTAAATCCAGAGGTATTAATTCTGATAAATTACTGAACACTTTCAAATAAATATAGTCAATAGATATGAAAATTACTAATTCCAAATTCCAGTGAACATTCTGGCTTATGTTTTCATTGAAATGTACAATTGATGAATTGCTTTTGACTTTATGAGTTGACTACATCCCAATTATAGTATGAACAAAAATATCACTTGCGTAGCGATATGTCTGTGGACAATGCTACAAACCATGTTTTGATATCGATGGTGGGCAGAGCACAGGTAACCCATTGTGTAGTTTTGTGCTACATATATTATTTATATATAGTTTTGAAGTTAGTCATTTTTTAAAAGTTTTAGTCAGTTAAAAAGCAAAATTAAAATATATTGATAAAATAGTTTTATCTGAAGAAATTGATTTACAATAGTAATACATATAAAAAATAAAAACTGTGAAATGAATCAGAAATAAAAACATGGTAATCAAGATGTCTGTAATGTAATAACTAAAATACCTCATTTACAGAAAACATCTGTGTAAAAAATTATTAAAAAATAGTTAAGAATTGTTTCTATGTGGGTTTAAAAAACATGGTCAGGATATATATTTTCATTGTTGTTATGTAAGATAATTTTTTGGTGTTAACATTCATGAAATGTAAAGAAAATTGCTTCTAATAACAAGTAAGTTCATTTGATTTT